TTTGTTGTGATTTGGCGCTATATAAATAAAATTGAATTGAATTGAATTGAATTGAAAATAGAATTTAATAATCTGAGAAAGGAATGAAAATATGTTTTACTGTTAAACAGGAGAAAAAACATAATCAGTCCCTCCAAACTTGCAGGAAACAGCATTTTGAAACTGCTGCTCAGCAGCCTGTAATTCATGTTGTTTGTCAACTGAATTTTCTGGCAACCAAAAGTTTGTGTACAAGAATTTTGGTACATTAACCTCTTGTATATTTTGTACATTGTCCAAACTGTTGGATTGGAAATAAACTCAAAGAAGTGGAGACACTAAATCTTACCCTGCTCAGCTAACAGCTGACAGAGTGAAACCAATGTTCTGCTCATTAATATAACATCAAGACATTTAATCCATTTTAGAAAAGCTCTGCAGAGAAACAACAACTGAGCAAAGAAAAAACAAAAAATGCAGATAATTGTTTCACTGAACTGTAAGTGATGGCAGGCTGACATGATGACGATGTAGCAGAGAGAGGAGACATTCTCATGTATTTGCTTGCCTACCTGGATGTCCAGGGTGGAGAAGTAGCTGTTGAGGTGTTCGGGGTCATTGATGTCAGGCTCCCAACAGACTGGACACACCATGTCTCTGATGTGTTTGTCCCTTACAGCGATGGTAAAGTGCTGCTGAAAACAACCACAGCACACAGAGCACTGACACGACGTGAGAGACTGCATCTGAGAAGGGAAGGTGGGAGGAAGCAGAAAATCAAGAGATGGAAATCATTCAGAAAAATATTTAGTGACCCAAAAGCATCTGTAAAGTAACCCTAACTTTGCTGTGAGGGAAAACCGAGAGGCAGATGGGACATTCTTTAGCGAGCACTCGCTTGATAAATTCCCTGTCGTGGGACTCTTGCACTGCCTGCACCACATCTTCTAGGGAATAGGGGGCGCTGTGCTCCAGAAGCAGCGATAGGGCCAGCTCACAGCGACCCCAGCTGGGTAGATCGTAGACTGCTAGAAGCCACCGACATACACGCTGAAAAAACAATAAAATCACGTTAAAATAGACGTCACATTTTCTACCAGTAATGTCAAACATGGGGTCTGTGTAAAGTACTGTGTAACAGCTGCAAGTCACTCCTCATTTCTGTATGTTTTGCTGGGAAAGTGAGCACAGCAACTTCTCTTCACTGGCTTCCTGTTAAATCTGGAGTCTTAAAATAACTAATCCCCAAAAGTGGGTTTTGTTCATCTGGACGCAGCGTTTTCAGTGGAAGAAATAATTTGTTACTCATCCAAATGACTTCTTCAGGCTCAGCTGACTGATCCAGCTAAATCCAGTGGAGTGGTTTGGTTTAAGCTAGATTAAAGCCAACAATGGTCTTAAAAATTTTTATATTTTAAAATAAAATAATGAAACATACTAACCGAAAATGGATT